GCTTTCCTAACTTGTCTAAGTCAGAAGTTCTATTCTCCCTGATTCTCATCACCTTCACCTCATCTCTCCTGGTGTTTCTTTTATCTGTTGGCTTTCAGTGGTTCATGAACTTAATGCTGAGGATGTTCATGTCTGCTCCCAAGCCCTCTTTACCCTGTGTTTCTACAGTGTGGAGCATCTCCCCTGTCAGGGCCAGTTCCTTCATGTGGACTCCATTCCTTCTTGCCTGCTTAGGCGTCTTCCTTTGTCATTCATCTCTTTTCTTTAACTTTTATAAAAGCTATTAACCCTTCCTAATGCTGTGGCCACTGGCTTAGGGATACAGGTTTGCCTGAGTTTACTTTATGTTCATACAAAGATAAAAACTGTCACACAAAAGACATTTCATAGAACTTTTCCATCAATAAGCAACCCATATTACTATTAGAAATTTAAGAGTTTCTGGCTATTATGAATAATGCTGCTATGGTCATACTTGAGTAAATGTGCTTGTGGTGTGAGTGTGCATCCTTAGGGTATATGTGGCATTACTGGGTCTTGAGGTAGATTGATTGCCAATTTTCTGAGAAACTACCATACTGATTTCCACAACAGCTATACAAGTTTGCACTCCCACCAGCAATGGAGGAGTGTTCCCCTTTTCGCTGCATCCTCTCCAGCATAAGCTGTTGTTAGTTTTTGATCTTGGCTATTCTGACAGGTGTAAGATGGTATCTCAGAGTTGTTTTGATTTGCATTTCTCTGATGACTAAGGATATTGAACATTTCCTTAAGTGTCTTTCCACCATTTAAGACTGTTATGTTGAGAACTCTCTATTTAGTACTGTACACCATTTTTATTGGATTATTTGGTCTTTTGATGTCTAGTTTCTTGAGTGCTTTGCATGTTTTGGAAATCAGCCCTCTGTCAGATGTGGGGTTGGTGAAGATCTTTTCCCATTCTGTTGGGAGCTTTTTTTTTTTTTTTTTTTTTTTTTTTGTTTTGTTTTGTTTTGTTTTGTTGACTGTGTGCTTTGCTGTACAGAAGCTTCTCAGTTTCAGGAGGTCCTATTTATAATTGTTTCTCTCGGTGTCTGTGCTACTGGTGTTGTATTTAGGAAGTGGTGTCTTGTGCCAATTTGTTCAAGGGTATTTTCCACTTTCTCTTCTATAAGGTTCAGTATGGTTGGTTTTATGTTGTGGTCTTTGGTACATTTAGACTTGAGTTTTGTGCATGGCAATAGATACAGATCTATTTGCATTCTTCTACATGTCAACATATAGTTATACAAGCACCATTTGTTGAAGATGCTATCCTTTTTCCATTTTATAATTTTAGCTTCTTTGTCAAAAATCAGGTGTTCATACGTGTGTGGATTGGTGTCAGGGTCTTCAATTAGATTCTATTGGTTTATCTGTCTGTTTTTATGCTAATACCAAGCTGTTTTCATTACTATAGCTCTAAGTCAGGTATGGTGATGCCTCCAGAAGTTCTTTTATTGTACAGGATTGTTTTGGCTATTCTGATATTTTTGTTTTTCCATATGAAGATGAGTATTGTCCATTTAAAGTCTGTGAAGAATTGCACTGGGATTTTGATGGGTATTGCACTGAATCTGTAGATTGCTTTTGGTTAAGATCGCCATTTTTACTATGTTAATCCTACTGTTGGTTTTTATTTTACTCTTTGACTCTTTTGGGAGTCCTCCTTTAGCTTGGCTTATTTCTAGCCAGCTTTTCTAACTTAAATTACACTGTTTACCTTTTGCCTCTGGGCTTCTATCTTTTTCTATTCTATATACTGTTCTTTACTTCTTACTCTGTGGCTTGCTGTGTGGCTGGCCCCTGATGTTCTTCTCTCCTTTTCTCAACTCCCTGTTTTCCCTCTTTCTTCTTCTATTTATTCTTTCTGCCTGGCAGCCCTGCCTATCCCTCTCCTGCCTAGCTATTGACTATTTAGCTCTTTATTAGGCTAATCAGGTGTTTTAGACAGGTAAAGTAACAATAGAGTTAAACTTGGTGGTGGTGGTGCATCACTTTACTCCTTGCACTAAGGAGGCAGAGCAGGCGGATCTCTGAGTTTGAGGCAGGCTTGGTCTACAGAGCCAGTGCCAGGACAGGCTCCAAAGCTACACAGAGAAACCCTGTCTCAGAAAACAAAACAAAACAAAAATCTAGCAGTATAAAAGAATGCAGCACCTTTGCCTCATTAAACAAGTATTCTATAACATAAGAGAATGTAACATAACTTTAACTCATACTCCACAACAGGTTTTGGATGCATTGCTTGTATTTTTTTTTAAGTTTTTTTAAAGTCAGAGACTCAGTACATGTCATCATCTGGTGACAAAGCAGAGAAATACTACATGGTGTGCCTATATTCTTTCAATTTGGTACAATTGTAACCATGCAGGAAGCCTAGATGTAATAAACACTATGTAAACTGGGCATGTACCACATGCCTATAATCCTAGCACCTAAGAGATAGGAGTAGGAAGATGAAAATTTCAAGGTTATCTTTGAATACATAGAAAATTAAAGGCAAACCTGGGGGTGGAGTAGTGGATGTCTTCATTTGGGGAGGTAGTGGGGCTGTTCCTTGCCACAGTGTGGTGGTTATGGAAAGCTGCAGGATGTACACTAGAGAGAATTAATTTCTTGTTAGTTATACTGTGTTAAACTTGACTAAAACATGTATAGGAAAACATAGAAGACAAAATTTTTTAGAAATTTTTAGAAATGTTTTCAATCCAGTTGGAAGATTTTTTTTAGCTGTATATAAATTATAGAGTGATATAATACCAAAGAATGCAAAAAGGTGAACTAGTAGAAATGAACTACATTTGGTGACATGAAAAACAAACAAAAAAAAAATCAATAAAAAAAAGAGTCTTTTGGCAGAGGTCAACACAGTTTACAAACCTAACTTCGAATAAAGCTAATGAAGAACAAATTTAAGTCACCTATGTCAGTAACAAAAGGGAAACTGTCATGACTGACACCAAGGACTTATCAGTAAAACAACAACAAAACCAAAATACCTGAAGGCTTTACAGATTTGACAGGTTAGGTTAAATAGGTCAATCCTTTTTAAATTGTACCAAATCTAAAATGAAACGGAAGTTTGTTTCTATTAAATAAGTTCATTTTATACAAAAGAACTTTATTTAAAAAAAAAAATTGAATGCTTCAGATGATGGTCCTAAATAATCCTACTAAGCAATTTTTTGTGTAGAGTGAGTGATAAGGATCTAGTTTCATTCTCCTATTGTAGCTGTTCAGTTTAAGCAACATCATTTTTTAAAAAATTCTATTCAATTGCATTTCTTTTTTGTGAGCCTACTCACAAAAAGTAGATTTTGATGCAATAGTTTTCCATCCAGATGTTTTAGACTAATCTAATTTGTTTTTTCCTTAAAAATGAAAATATATAGTTTTGAAATATTGACATAGTTTCTGGTACAGTAAAAATGAAAGAGTCTAGGAGTCATCTAATGATAACTGATGTTATTAAGTCTGGAATTCAATGTGTTAAGTAACACAATTTTATTCCTCAAACTCAAGGAGCTAGGGAATGTAGCTCAGTGATAATGCACTCCCTAATATACAGAAAGCCTGGGGTCCATTTCCAGAACCATAAAACATCTTTAGTTTGGTTTTTCCTGCTGTATTCTTTCAACACTAATCACCTCTAATGCCTGTTAGGTGGGGTCTTTTCCTTTTACACACTAAGAAAGCAATTCTGTAGCGGAAGCCAGCTGGGGTTCTCTAATTCAATTTCCAGTGTCCTTTACTTGGAGATAGCATCAGATCTCATGGGTCAAGGGATCAGTTAATCCCTAAGATTGCTTGCCCCCACAGGTACCTGTCAACAATTGTTTTTAACTTGTGTTTCTGACTGATTGCTCAGAATCAGGGTCCCACAGCCATCTTCTCAGGGGTCAGTTAATTTGCTCAAGTGAGTCACAGAACTCAGGAAAACACATTTGCCAGTCTATTAGAGAGAACACTACAAACGACACAGGGCAAGGTCTGGAGGAAAGTGCATAGAGCCCTCTAAGAATTTACCTATGTCCAGCTCTCATGCAGAGTCCTTTTGCTACTCTGCCTAAAGAGACTTTATTGCATACCAGATGTTACAATATGAATAGTAAAACCTGGTGAGGTTTGTCTGTGCACATTCCTTCCTGTAGATATGTGCCAAGATTTCTTCTGAAGTGCCTTATTGTCTACCAGACAAGGAAGGCTCGAGAAAGGTGAGGAAAATTAGTGTTTATGTGACCAGCCACAAGAATGACATGTTTTAGTTTCTGTCACCTGCCCTAGAGATGTAGGCTCTGAATGAGAGCTTACATTTTGTAAATGTAAGCTAAAATGGATGTACCGTTTACAGCAGTTGGTAGTATAATTTGAAATAGACGTAGTCTGAATTTTTCCCATGAATGTTTATCTTATAATTTCTTTTTTCCTATTTTCTTTCTTCCTTCCTTTTTTTCTTCTTTCCTTCCTTCCTTTCCTTTCCCTCCCTTCCCTTCCCTTTCCTTCCCTTCCCCTCCCTCTCCCCCTCCCCTCCCTCCCTCCCTCCCTTCCTTCCCTCCTCTCCTGTTTTGGTTTTTCAAGGCAGGGTTTCTCTGTGAAGCTTTGGCTGTCCTGGATAGAAGCAGAGGGTTCTCAAACTCACAGAGAGTGCTGGGAGTAAAGATATGTGCCACCACCATAGGCTTATCACATTTTTCTTATCTATTTTCCTGTTGGTAAACATCTAAGTTGTAACAAACATCTTTTATACCTATAACTTTAACTATTTAGATAATGTAGGATAAGTAAAAAATTATCATTTTAGATTTTAATGGATATTTTGGAACTCTAAAATGTTGTCAACATTGTGACTTTTGTAGAAAATCAACTTAGTTCCAAACTTTGAAAAGATGTCACTAATGTCTACCACTTTTTTCTAATAAGAGATTTTTAGTCACATGGAAATCTTTAAAATGACAATGTGATGTGTTTTATTCTTACAGTGATGGAATGGGGGGAGGATATTAAAGCAATCTCTAATGACGAAGCAGTGATGCTGGTGAACCACCAGGCAACAGGAGATGTGTGCACACTGATGATGTGCCTACAGGACAAAGGGCCGGTAAGTGTTGGGTGCCTCAGGCACATACCTGCAGAATGGACTTAGAAGCATTCGTTCAAGTATCCCATTGTTGTTTAAAAAATAGATGTAGTTTAATATGAAAAAAATATAGTTTTTAGTCACCCCAGGAAGGGAATTTAAAGATTTAAAAGATAAATAAAGAGGATAGCATCTAGTGTTGATAAACCAGTGTTTGAACTGTTGATTTTGCATTACTTATATTAATAATTAAATGTAATCAACAAATCAAGTACATTTAAAGTATGTTTGGACTTAATCAAAGAATTATTACCTGGGAAATTATGTTCCTAGAAAACTAAATTAATAGTATATGAATTATTGGAGTTTGTATTTGGTCCTAAATTAAGTAAACTGATAATATATGTTCATTGATTGTTTAATAGTTATGATGAGTAGCTGTAAGAAGTAAAAGACTCGACAACAGATGTGGTGGCTAAAGCCTTTAGTCTTAGCAATAGGGAGGCAGAGGCAGATGGATCTCTGAGTTTGAAGCTAGCCTGGTCTACATAATTAGTTTCAGGGCAGCCAGGTCTGTATAAAGAGACCCTGTCTCAAAACAAAACAGACTTCATTTCTCTCTCCAGGAGCCAACAGTCCATTATCAGGTGGGAGATGATATCACTGCAAAATGAAAAGTCTGTATTTGAGGGTGAGCTCACCATGTATCTGGTGGGCATAGACCACTTTACAGAGGAGAGAGCACACATTCTTGTCCTTCAGAGTTAGGCAGAGTTTAGTTAGGCTGCTTCTAGTGAAGTGGTTTTGGCAAAGCCTGAGGTAAGGTGAGAATCAGCATAAGTTTTAAAGAGTTTTGAATAACCAGATAAGGTCACAAAATGAGGTAAAATCAAAAGAAAATATGTTTAGGTGTTACATAATCTGCTTATCTGAAAAGCAAGGATGTAATCTTGCTGGAATGTGAAATAATTCCTTATAATCATATCCTCAAATTGTTAAAGAAAAACTGCATAGATGGCATTTGTTCTTACAATAAAATGTATTGTTTCGCCTTTAAATTTATAATGTAAAATTGTGTGTGTGTGTGTGTGAGAGAGAGAGAGAGAGAGAGAGAGAGAGAGAGAGCCCTATTTAGCTTTTTGTAAAGGCACATATCCAATTAGCCCAACATTTTTTAGTCTCACTGATAATGGTAATTACATTTGTAACAATTACTTTGAAAGCATGCAGTGTGCTTAAGTGGTCTTAAGTCTCAAAGAATGACTCAAATGATCAATATAAAATGTGCCTGTGACCCATTCCAGTTTGTTGAGGATGATAACTGGATATTAACTTAATGTTACGTAGTTGTGGGGACCAAAGAAAGGCTGGTTTGTTTGCTTTTGTAAGATTTGAATTAATTTGGTTAGATTTAATTGCCTGTCCTGAGTAATTTTTTACATTTATTTTATTTTACTTGTACATTTATGTGTCTGTTTATGTCACATGTGTGTAGTTGCCTTTGGATGCCAGAAGAAGGTGTCTGGTCCCCTGGAGCTAGAGTTAGTGGTAGCCATGAGTCATCTGATGAGGGCACTGGAATCCAATAGAGCTGTCTACAAGAACAGCAAATGCTCTTAGACACTAAGCATCTCTCCAGCCTGTCCTGAGTAATTTTGTACAACTCTCTGATATTATCAGATAATTTGAAATCTAGACACATTTTAAAACTAATTTCATAGGGGATAATTTTGTACCCTTAGAGTTTTTGTTTCCTCTTGCTTTATGAGCATGAGTCAATATTAATTTATATTAACAAGTAGAAATATTTATTTGATTGATTATTTACTCCATAGTCATTTAAAAATACCTCTTGGGGCTGATGAGATAGTTCAGTGCTTCCAACCCTGATGTTTCCGTTGCTGTGAAGAGACATAGGACCATGGCAGCTCTTCTAAAGAAAACATTTCATTGGGGCTGGCTTCCAGTTATAGAGGTTTTTATCCATTATCTTCATGGCAGTGTGGAGGTAGACATGGTACTGGAGAAGGAGCTGAGAGTTCTATATTTTGATCTACAGCTGGTAGAAGCAACTGTGTGCTATACTGAATACTGAGTGTAGCTTGAGCATTGGAGACCTCAAAGCCCAACCCCATAGTGACTCACTTCCCCCAACATGACCACACCTACTCCAACAAAGCCACACCTCCAAATAGTGCCTCTCCATATGGGGACCGTTTTCTTTCACACCACCACACCTGATGACCAATGTTCAATCTCCAGAACCCACATGATAGGAGGAGAGAACTGACACCTAAAAATTATTTTCTGCCTTCCACATGTGTACATGTATACACACACACACACACACACACACACACACACACACACACACACAGAGTTATATGAACTATTTTCTTCATTTACCCTCTACTTTACTTTTTGAGACAGGGTCTGTCACTGAACCTGGAGTTCACAAATTTGGCTAGACCACTGACCAGCAAGCCCCAAGGATCTTCTTGTCTGTACTCCCCAGCACTGGGATTGTAAGCACCTTCCACACTTGGCTTTTACATGAGTGCTAAGAACCAAGCTCAAGTCTTCATGTTTCCATGGTGTCTTAGTCACTGTTCTGTTGCTATAAAGAGACACCACAACCAAGGCAACTTTTATAAGAGAAAGCATTTAATTGGGACTTGCTTACATTTTCAGAGGTTTAGTCCACTATCATCATTGGGGGTGGCGCTTGGTGGCACGCAGTCAGGTGCTGCAGCTGAGAGTTGTACCCTGAACCATAAGCACAGAAAGAGCACCTGGGCCTGGCCACTCCCAGATACATGCCCTCTGACATGGCCATACCTCCTAATCCTTCTAATCCTTTCAAACAGTGTCACTTCCTGGTGACTGAGCATTCACCCTGTGAGGGTCATTCTTAATCAGACCACCACAAATGGCAGGCACTTTACCAACTGAGCCATCTCCTCAGTCCTAATCTTTTATATGTATGCACTTTTACTTTATAAAGCAAGTCAGTCTGGTAAAGTTGATGGTTGAAAAATTAAGGCAGGAGCTATAATTTTTTTTTTGGACCATTATTGCCTTTTGTTTTGTCTTGTTTTTCAAGACAGGATTTCTCCGTGTAGCGCTGGCTGTCCTGGAACCAGACTGGCCTCAAACTAACAGAGTTCCTCCTGTCTCTGCCTCTCCTGATTGATGGGATTAAAAGTATGTGCCACCACCAACTAACTTTAGTTTAATTTTTTTTTATGTATACTTATAACTTAGTGTTCTAACACTAGGAATCAAGACCAATAACTTTTTAAAAGATTTGTTTATTTATTATGTATAGTGTTCTGCCTGCATGTATGCCTGCAGCCCAAAAGAAGGCACCATTGTCATTATAGATAGTTGTGAGCCACCATGTGGTTGCTGAGAATTGAACTCAGGACCTCTGGAAGAGCAGCCAGTGTTCTTAACCTCTGAGCCATCTCTCCAGCCCAAGACCTATAATTTTTCATGTAAACTCTATTAGTAACTGCTGAATTTATAGAAATATCATTAGATTTAAAATATTTACAACACTAAATGGACTTAGCAGGATGGATGTGTGTGTGTGTGTGTGTGTGTGTGTGTGTGTGTGTGTGTGTGTATGGTAATATCTCTTGTACAAATAAAGCCTGACTGAGGGTCAGACAATTGAGCATGCCACTAACCATAGAGGTCTGGACGTCTGTATAGACAGACAGGAAGTAAGATGACTGGGTAGAAACAAGATATAAGCAGGGAGAAAGAGGAACTTGTTCTCTTGTCTACAGAAACACTAAAGAGGTAAGGTGTGGCCATGGTTTGCTTCTTCTCTCTGATCTCTATATCTGACTCTGTGTTTTTATTACTTAGACCAATTAAGAACTCCATTTACATATATATGTAATAATAACTAAAGAAGAGATGAAATTGAGATGGAATAGGGAGGAGTTAGAGGGCTAGAAATGATATAATTGCAAAATTCATAAGAAATTGTCAAAAGAATAAAAAATAAAAACTATATTTAGTCACTAATTAAAAATATGCTTGGATGATCATATTGAAATGGAGACTTGGCTAGATTCTACCAAGTTTGTTATCACCAACATTGACTTAACCACATCTTACATTTAAATATTTCAGGTTGTTGCTCAGATGATGTGGCTGATGGATCATATTTTCAAGTACACAAATTTTGGAATTGTTTCCCTGATTCATGGAGACTTCTTTATAAGACAGGTAAGTGGTGAGCATTGCTCTTTCAGTATTCAGACACTAGAACTGACTGTCGATTAGGAAAAAGTGACATGACAAGCTGGTTGGCCTAAGTAGACCCTGTTCTCTGGTCCTGGGGGCTCTTCCTCTGAATCTTTGTTCTGTAAACATTCATTTCAGTCCACTTTGGATATGCATGATCAAGCACCTGCCACACCCATACTCTTCACATCTTATTTTTCACATCTAAACAATAAACAGTCTCCCTCAAATAGTTGTGTGGATTAAGTGAAGTTAAACATGTAAAGCATTCAAAACAGTACCTACCAGAATTTTACCATGAGTACACTGTCATTATCTACCTTCTACTATTAACTGTTATTTGCAATATCCTGTTGTGTGGTACCAGTGGTATCTGAATTACCTGTAGGGAGATTTTGTTTTGTTTTGTTTTCAGTTTTCAAGGCAGGCTTTCTCTGTGTAACAGCTCTGGCTATCCTGAAACTCACTCTGTAGACCAGACTGGCCTCAAACTTGGAGATCTGCCTGCCTACTGAGTGCCAGGATTAAAGGCATTCACTGGCCCACCTGGCTGGAGATTATTAATAAATAATATAATAATAAATAATAATAGGAAATGTTAAGGGAATTCATATTAATCCAGAAAATGTTGAGAGGAGAATATAACATTTGGCATGTGGATCGATGGAATGGAGGTGAGGTGAGAAGGGTTGTAAGTTTCAGGAACAGTTTGATGTGGGCAAGAGAACTCTGACCTCTTCCCAAGTCACCATGTCTTGCATTGTGGCATTTCTTCTTATCCACACTAGCATCACACACTTATTTCTTCCAAAGCAGGGAAATATCATATGTAAGCATGTCTATGGATAGCAAGGCTATGATTCCTGTTCGTGTACTTAACAACTGTACTTTTGATTGTATGGTCCCACATACATAAGTCCTTAATGAACATGTGATAGATAAAATGAATCCTGTTCTGAGGAACCACAAATGAAGACATTGGCCAGAAGTAAGTAGAAAGCACAGAAGCAAGCAACAGAAAGCTCAGCAGCCAGTCCTCTTATCCCTTACACAGTGACATCTGAGGAGTGCAATAGTTGATGTTAATGGTGAGCCTTGAGCATCAAGAGTCTAAATTCTCAAAAAAGAAAAAAAAAAAAAAAGTAAATTCTCACCGTGCTCTGGGGGAATAAAAATTAATAAGTATGTCCTCCAAAATCTTTTCCATTTGATGACAGTTAAAGTTTTGAATCCATAAGGACTATTTTAGAATAACTGAAAATTAATTTCTAAAAAAAGCAACATTTTCCCCTCAGATTAGCAGTAAAGATTCTATAACATGGTAATGAATGGTACCAAAAAGGTATTAGTTTAATGAAATATGTTGGTGTAGCCTGTGATCTAGCACTTAGAGAAAGACATGGAAGGACAAGGAATCCAAATAGCAAATTCAATGCCAGTCTGGAACATATGAAACCTTCCCTCAAAAGAAAGAAAAAAAGTTGTTAATTTTTTTTTTTTAAATATTACTTGGGGCGGAGATTTAAGAAAATCTCCCAACAGTTATCAGTAGTCTCCCAACCAAAAAAGCCCAGGCCCAGATGGTTTCAGCACAGAATTATACCAGATGTTCAAAGAAGTACTAATACCAATACTTTTCAAATTATTACACACACACACACAATAGAAACAGAAGGAACATTGCCAAACTTTTTTACGATACTACAGTTACCCTGATACCCAAACCACTCAAAGACACAACTAAGAAAGAGAATTACAGACCAATTTCCCCCATGAACATAGATGCAAAAATACTCAATAATAAAATACTGGCAAACTGAATCCAGTAACACATCAGAAAAATCTTCCACTGTCCACCAAGTAGGATTCATCCCAGAGATGCAGGAATGGTTCAACATACAAAAATCCATCAATGTAATCTACCATATAAACAAACTGAAAGAAAAAAAAACCATGTGATCATCTCATTAGATGCTGAAAAAGCCTTCAGTAAAATTCAAAATCCCTTCATGATAAAGGTCCTGGAGAGAATAGGGATACAAGGAACATACGTAAACATAATAAAGTCACCCAACAGTCAACATCCAAGCATTCCTGCTGAAATCAGGAACAAGACAAGGCTGTATACTTTCTCCATACCTATCCAATATAGTACTCAAAGTTCTAACTAGAGCAATATGACAACAGAAGGAGTCCAAGAGGATACAAACTGGAAAAGAAGTCAAACTCTCACTATTTGCCGATGATATGATAGTATGCATAAGTGACCCCAAAAATTCTACCAGGAAACTCCTACAACTGATAAACACCTTCAGGAATGTAGCAGGATACAAGATTAACTTAAAAAAAAAAAAAAAAAAAAAAGAATCCTATATACAGATGATAAACATGCTGAGAAAGAAATCAGAGAAACATCCTTCACAATAGCCACAAACAACATAAAATATCTTGGGATAACTCTAACCAAACCAATGAAAGATCTGTATAACAAGAACTTTGAATCTTTAAAGAAAGAAATTAAAGAAGATAGCAGAAAATGGAAAGATCTCCCATGCTGGGAGGATCAACATAATAAAAATGGCAAGCCTATCAAAAGTAATCAACAGATTCAATGTAATCCCCATCAAAACCCCAGCACAATTCTTCACAGACCTGGAAAAAACAATACTCAACTCCAAATAGAAAAAGAAAAATCCAGGATAGCCGAAACAACCCTGTACAATAAAGGATTATCTAGGGGCATCACTATCCCTGACTTCAAGCTCTCCTATGTAGCTATAGTAAAGAAAACAGCTTGGTATTAGCATAAAAAGATAGGTGGACCAGTAGAATTGAATTGAAGGTCCTGATATCCACCCAAACACCTATGAACACCTAATTGTTGACAAGCTAAAAATATAAAATGGAAAAAAGATAGCATCTTCAACAAATGGTACTTCTATAACTATGGAGCTATAGTAAATAGCTTGGTATTAGCATAAAAAGATAGGTGGACCAATAGAATTGAATTGAAGGTCCTGATATCCACCCAGACACCTATGAACACCTAATTTTTGACAAGCTAAAAATATAAAATGGAAAAATGATAGCATCCTCAACAAATGGTGCGTCTATAACTGGCTGTCGACATGTAGAAGAATGCAAATGGACCCATATCTATCACCATGCACAAAACTCAAGTCCAAATGGATCAAAGACCTCTATATAAATCAATCCACACTGAGTCTCATAGAAGAGAAAATGGGAAATAACGTTTGAACACATAGGCACAGGAGACCACCTCCTAAATACAACACTAGTAACACAGACACTGAGAGCACACTTAATAAATGGGACCTCCTGAAACTGAGAAGCTTCTGTAAAGCAAAGAACACAGTCAACAAGACAAAACAGCTCCCTACAGAATGGGAAAAGATTTTCACCAATACCACATCTGGCAGAGGACTAATCTCTAAAATATATATATAAAAAAAAAAACCTCAAGAAACTAGACATTAAACTACCAAATAATCCAATTTTAAAAATGGGATACAAATCTAAACAGAATTCTCAATAGAACAGTCTCAAATGGTGGAAAGACACTTAGGGAAATGTTTAACATCCTTAGTCATCAGGGAAATTTGCAAATCAAGGCAACACTGAGGTACCGTCTTACTCCTGTCAGAATGGCAAAAATCAGAAACAGCAGTGGCAGTTTATGCTGGAGAGGATGTGGAGAGAGGGGAACACTCCTCCACTGCTGGTGGGGAATGCAAATTGTACAGCCATTTTGGAGATCAGTATGGCAGTTCCTCAGAAAAATGGCAATCAGTCTACCTCAAGATCATGCAATACCACTTTTGGGCATATACCCAAAGGATGTACATTCACACCACAAGGACATTTTCTCAGTTATGTTCATAACAGTATTATATATAATTTCCAGAAACTGGAACTAACCTAGATACCCTTCAACTAGAGAATAGATAAAGGAAATGTTTATTTGCACAATGGAGTACTACTCAGTGATAAGAAACAATCCTCAAATTCGCAGGCAAATGGACAGAACTAGAAAAAACTATCCTGAATGAGGTAACCCAGATCCAGAAAGACATATATAGTATGTACCCACTCATAAGTGGATACCACACATAAAGCAAAAGATACCCAGCCTACACTCCACAACCCCAGAGTTTGTACCCTCTTCCAGAAACAGATGGAAGCAGATGCAGAAATCCACAAATAACCATTGGGCTTAACTCCTGGAGTACAATTAAAGTAAGGGAGGAGTGATAATATGAACAAAGGAGTCAAGACCATGAAGGGGAAACCCACAGAATCAGCTGACCTGAGCTAGTGAGAGATCCCTGAGTCTGGTCTGACAAACTGGGAGCCGGCATAAGATCAAACTAGACTCCCTTAATATAGGTGACAATGGTGTGACTGGGACAATATATGAGGCCACTGGCAGTGGGTCCAAGATCTAATACCAATGCACAGACTGACTTAGTGGAGTCCATTCTATATGGAGAGATACCTTGCCCAGCCTAGACACAGTGTGGGGGTGGAGAGGTGTCTTGGTCCTGCTTCAACTAGATGATGGGACAGACTTAGTAAATTTCCTTGGGGAGGGCTTACCATCTCTGAGGAACAGATGGGAGGAGGGGGCAGGAAGAGAGAAGGGAGGAACTGGGATTGGAATGTAAAGAATAAATTAATTGAAAAATTTAAGAAAAGAAAATAAAAAAGGCAGTAAAATCAGCCATGCATGAGGCCCTTTCTGTTTGGTCTCTTCTAATTTTGTCACCTACCACTGTTGTCTCCCTTGCATTGGCTAGGGCACTGCTCTGCCTTGTTTGTTTGTTTTTTTTTGGGGGGGTGAGTTTGAGACATGGTTTCTCTGTGTAGCCTTGGCTGTCCTGGAACTCACTCTGTAGACCACACTGGCCTCTAACTCACAGAGATCTGCCTGCCTCTGCCTTTAATCTGCTAGAATTAAAGGCTTGTGCCACCACGGCCTGGCCTCTTTGTTTTTAAGTCATTCTCTTTCTATATAGTTCAGGTTTGAAACTTACTAGGTAAATCAGGAGAGTCTTGAACTCATAGAGATCACCTAACTGTGCCTACCAGTGCTGGGATTAAAGATATGTGCCCCCACATCAGGCCCCAACATATCAAGCATGTTCCCACCTTGGGCCTGTATCTTTATTTTTTTTTTATTTTATTTATTTATTTATTTATTTATTTATTTATTTATTTATTTATTTTTTGCTCTTGTCACCTGGAACATTCTGCCTTGATCTTTGTGTGGCTTATTTCCTCATGTTATCTATTAGTTATTTGCTTTCATGAACTTGCCTTGTTCCTCCTGATCCTTTCTATCCTTCACATTCTTTTCTTCCTCAAACATATTGCCAATGGAGTTCACACTCCATATACAGTACTTACCTTCTGTTTACACTCTGTTTCTGGGTTGGGATTGTATTTGGCAAATAGTGGACATTTACTATGTGGCCACCAAACTGTTGAGTTGCTTTTTCCTCCAGGAAGAAGTTTTTTTTTTTTTTTTTTAAATAAGTTTGAGTAGTCCCTACAATCAAAAAGAGAAATGGATGGGGGAGGAACCACTTTTCCAGCCTGTGATTGGATTTCAACTTTGAAGCAGTTATTTCTATTTAATCCTGGAGTGTTTTAATATCAACTGTGCCTGTCCTGCCTGTGTGTATCCTCTAGGGAAGATCCTATCGTGACCAACAGCTGCTGGTTCTCAAGAAGCACCTAGAACGGAATTATAGGAGCAGAGATCGAAAGTGGATTGTTTTATTTCCTGAAGGGGGCTTTCTCAGGAAGAGGAGAGAAACAAGCCAGGCATTTGCCAAGAAAAATAACTTGCCATTTCTTACACATGTCACTTTGCCAAGGTTTGGGGCAACAAACATTATTCTGAATGCCCTTGTAGCACAGCAGGAAAATGGAAGCCCAGCAGGAGGAGATGCTAGAGGGTTAGGTAAGTGCCTTTGCACCTCTTGCCTTATTTAACTGAAGTGTTTTCTACAGTTCCGATCCTTTTTCTGTGTTTATTTGTTTAAGTTGTTTTTTGTTGGTGGTGTTGGTGGTTTTTGTTTGTTTGTTTGTTTGTTTTGAGACAAGGCATCTTGAGCTGTCCTGAAACTGTAAACCAGGGTGGTCTCAAACATAGAGATCCACCTGCCTCTGTCTTTTGAGCGCTAGGATTAAAGTCCTGCATGGCCCAACTTTTAAAATAACTTTTGACACTTGGAATTAACAGTCAGGAGAAGATGAAGTTATTATCTCTTCATATTTCTCTTTAAAGTAGTTGATGCTCACAATAATGCACTAAAATATCTACAAGTATGATGTCAGAGATAACTTTCCTGCCTGCCTGTTGTTACTCAGGACGATTTCTACCACTAATGATGCAAGTGACTTTTTAATTATTAAATTTGGAAGGTATTGTTTGCTTTTAATAGACAACATAGTTAATGTAACTTGTCAGTATTTATTAAGACCCTTAAGGACTCAGTCATCCTACTACATAATCATCCAAAGAAAACTATCTATGTTGGGCTCGTGTCATTGACTCTAGTACTAGTGAGTTGGAGGAGGAGGATCACCTCAAGTTCAAGGCCAATTTAGGTTACATAGTAAATTCTAAGTCAGTCTAGGCTTCAAAATGAGACTTTGCATCAAAAAGAAATAATCATAATCTGAATATAGGTGATGAAAACTTGTCACAGTTTTATTTATTGTAAACTAATCAGAGAGAGACAGGGTGAGCAAATTCCCACATGTCCATATAACACAGCCATATGATGCACATGGAGAGTTTGGTTTGCCTGGCAAAGTACTTAGGCTACTTTGGAGAGGTGTGTGTAGGAGGGACAACATGCAAAATAATGTGAACTCCAGACTCAACCATCAGACAGCAGGAAAAGAGTGACAGGAAAGACATAACTGTGTTAGCCGAGATCATCCCATGGGCTGTAACAGTGTGGCTCATCCTTCAGAGATCTAAAATAATGAACCCATAGTGTTTAATAGTCAGGAAAGAGTAAGCAGTGCTCAGTGATACTGTTCCCCAGGAACAGGCCAGCAAGCTGTGAAGTTTCACAGAAGCTGTGTTTGCAGTAGTAGCAAGAGCAGCTTCATCCAAGCCCTTTCTACTACAAAAAGCTTTCTAGATAAACAGCTCAAAGAGACTCAAAGGCCAGTTTCTTTGATAGCATTTTTAATTCTTTTAGTATTATGTAAATCAATGTTGAAATAGTTGGCTCTCAGAAACATTTCAGATTCTGTACAGCTCAGATGTAGAAATAATGCCCATGAAATTGAACATCGTTTTCCTTTCTGTTTGCTTTTTTCAAGCGGCTACTTGGCAGTCGGCTTTCTTAATCATCCATTCATCATCTATTAAAAAGGCAAATTGAAAGAGTCTTTTAATAGAAAAGGAAAGTTAGAGTAGCTTCACTGCTGGAGAGACACTATCTCAATGTCAGGCAGACCAAAGTTGGAAGCAAAGGTCTTCCATACAGTATTAGTCCCACTAAAATGGCTGCTGTTTGCACAGTCCAATCAGGCAGTGCCCAGTGGTAGTCTAGACCTCAAAGGAAGGACAATTGTGTTAACAGTTGCCTAGCAATGAAAAAGAGACTAAAGGAGTTTATTATTTATCCTTACTTAATATATTTGAATTTTAAGTCATCAGAATGTCTGAGACGTATTTTACTGTTTTCTTTGGTGTTCATATTTTATCTTCTGTGAATATAAACCCTACCTTTGTGTTTGTATTGTGGGCACCAAGCACATGTTGGAATTATTTTCTGCCTGGTGACCTTTAGGGTATCAGGGATCTTCTGCTTGTATATTGTACGATAACTCATCCTGAACCGACCTCTGCTGCTCTTTCTCTTTTTCTTTTCTTTTCTCTCTCTCTCTCTCTCTCTTTTTGGTTTCCCGAGACAGTTTTCTCTGTGTAGCTTTGGAGCCTGTCCTGGAACTCAGTTGGCCTCGAACTCACAGAGATCCGCCTCCTGAGTGCTAAGATTAAAGGCGTGCAATACCAATGTTCCACTTCACTTTCTTTCATCATGAAAATTTCCAAAGTTCAAAGTACAGCGCCAAGTACACTCTAAATTTTTAGCACTTTTTTTTTTCTCACATCTCCCTCTACTCTTCTATCTGTCTATTAGTTCATTTTGTTTTGATTGTTTTTTGCTTTGGTTTGGTTTGGTTTTTGATTAAAAAGTTATGTAACCCAGGTGGCCTTGAACCACTCACCCTCTTGTCCCTGCCACGATCTCCCGAGTGCTAAGGTTACAGGTGTGTGACACCATGCTCAGAGAAAAATGTCCCTTCTTACAAATTGTCCCCACTTCAGAATATTGCTGTAAAACATTTTAAAGCTGGTTTTAATTTCTAAGAAGGAAAAGTAATACATTATTGACTGCTAATACAATTTAGACTTAGGCTGGAAGATGATCTAGATACTTCACTCATAGAAAAGATAATTACACTTTAAACACCGAAAGCCAATGTTCTGTGTGAGAATCCCCTCCATTCTTGCCCAGCTTTATATTCACCATGAGAAGAGAACAGTATGTGAAGACCCCAACCTAATGGAACTTTCTGTCCCCTCTGTTGATGGTGACTTTCTGATCACTCCTGCTGAAGTGCTTTGCTGTGTCTGTTAATGCCCCTTAACTATTACTGCTATAAATCATGACTTTTGTTTACATTTATTGATTTGGTTTTGAAGTCTGCTTTTCTTTTTTATGAAGTATGTTTTACCTTCTGACCTTTTGTACACAGCTCTGTGTAGGAGTGATAATGTGTAATAAGACCTTGCTTGTGCATAATTTACTTAAGATTTGAATGAGGTATGTTTAGTAAATAATAGTGTTCTATTATTTGTTTTGAAGTAATCTGCTTTATAGTGAGAGTGCCTTAATTGTATGCTAAGTGCACTGTAGAACAGCAGGGACAAAGTCCACCTTTTATCTCAAAGCAAAGGTACATTAGGAGGAAGCCCCAGCTGCTTGTGAGTTCTGTACTACAGGGACAGAAAATCTCTCCCAACTCAAGTCACCTTTTCTTTATTTTCAGAATGCAAACCAAGGGGCCTGCAGTGGATAATAGATACAACCATAGCTTATCCCAATGCTGAGCCAATAGATATTCAGACCTGGATCCTTGGGTACAGGAAACCAACAGTCACTCATGTTCATTACAGGTCAGTACTGTAACTAACTCAGTGTGTCCAACAGAGCTACCTCAGGATACTTTGAGTGCTTTAGCATTTAACTTAACCACACAGTGGAAGAAATTAAAAATCATTCTTATGCTGAATTTTTAATATGAAAATTCATTTAAAGTAGTTATTTTCACTGATGATAAAGATTTCTAAAACCAGTGTCCCCTGGCGCTGTTATTACTCGGTTGCCTGACATTCTTAAGTAGTGGTGCTATAAAGAGTGAGCATCGGTTTTCTCTTTGCTGCCAGACCTCCGCCATCATGGGTCGCATGCACGCTCCTGGGAAGGGCCTGTCCCAGTCGGCGCTGCCTTACCACCGCAGCATCCCCACGTGGCTGAAGCTGACGTCTGATGACGTGAAGGAACAGATTTACAAACTGGCCAAGAAAGGCCTGACCCCCTCCCAAATAGGTGTGATCCTGAGGGACTCACATGGGGTGGCACAGGTCCGTTTTGTGACTGATAATAAAATCTTGAGAATCCTGAAGTCCAAAGGCCTTGCCCCTGACCTCCCTGAGGATCTCTACCATTAAGAAAGCTGTTGCTGTCAGAAAGCATCTTGAGAGGAACAGGAAGGATAAGGATGCTAAATTCCGCCTGATTCTGATAGAGAGCAGAATTCACCAGCTGGCTCGCTACTGTAAGACTAAGCGGGTCCTCCCACCCAATAGGAAATATGAGTCATCCACAGCCTCTGCTCTAGTGGCATAAATTCTCTTGTGTACGCAAGCAATACAATCAGTTAGAATAAAAAAAAAGTGAGCATCAAGGATAAATGTACTCACAGGGCTAAGTAGACATATATTACCAGAAACAAAAAAAGTCCAAAATCATTACTAATATTTCTGAATGTTTTTCTTAATAACTCAGATATATTGTGCCTATAATTTTTTTAAATGTTTTTAAAATTTTGTGTGTGTGTGCACATGAGTGCAGGTGCTGAGATAGGTCAGAGGTGTGCTTGTCAGTGGTTGTGAGCTGCCTAGTGTGGGTGCTGAGAGTGAAAGCCAGGTCCTCTAAGAGTAGACGTCTCTCCAGCCCCTACATTTTAAATTTATTTTATCATGATGATGTCTATAGCATAAATAACAGCAAAAACATATATTGAATATTTTGTGCTAGCTTCTTAAGATTCTTTTATATACACTTTTTGAGGGAGTTTCATGTAATGCATGAAGATATTTGCCTGCCGTTAATGATCCATATATAGATATGGCTACTTTATAAGCCATTCAACTTTGCTTGTCAGAGACCTCAACACATGTCAACAGATGTAGACATGTAAAGAATCCAGACTCAGGAAAAGCACAGCTACCACAAAGGCCCCTTAGAACAAGAGGAAAACTGCTCAAATTCTCTATCATTAACAGCAGATATATTTGCAAATGTGCTTTAGATTATTGTGCCAGCATTCTTTAAATACAGATGGAAAAATTTGAAACTAAAATATGATGATTGTGCTCAGTCATCCCTCTACTCCTGAGCTATATCCTCAGCCCTGAACGAAGAGATTTTTGTGTTTGTTCAGTCTTTTGAGACAGGGTTTCACTGTGTAGCCTTAGCTGTCCTAGAACTAGCTCTGTAGACCAGGCTGGCCTCAAAATCACAGAGATCTGCCTGTCTCTGCCTCCTGAGTGCTGGGATTAAAGGTGTGTGCCACCATTGCCTGACTGACGAAAGAGATTTTTTTCCTTTTTTTAAAACAGTGACTAAGACTCTATTTTTACTTATGTATGTCTCCCTGTGTGTATTCTACTTGTGTGTAGGTACCCATGGAGGCCAGAAAGACATCAGACCCTCTGGAACTGTAGTTACAGGAAGTTGTAAGCTTCCCCTTCCTGGGTGCTGGGAACCAAACTCTGGTCCTCAGCAAAAGCAGATGTGTCCAGCCCCACACCTCCCCAGGAGAATTTTAAAGTAGAAAATAACAACCCAGAAGGCTCTCAGTTAGCTAAGTGTGGTGGCTCCTGCCTGTAATCCCAGCACTTCAGAAACTGAGGCAGGAGGATTATCTCTAGCTCAGGGGCAGCCTGGGTACAGTGAGTTCCAGATCGTTGTAGACTGTGGAGTAATACACTTCTTTTTACAAACAACACAGACTTCCATTTAGTATGGACATGATCAGTGGTGTTTACCTATTAGCCCCTTTTAGTTCTCAGGGTTCCATCCATGAGTCTTCTTAGTGTTTAGCAACCTTGTGCTTTCATTTTAATATTAATTGCAACAAAATATCCAGAATAATGATACTCATAATTAAGTAACATTATATGATTCTGGTGTCCACATTGCAATCACTGTGATACCATTTTACTACTGTAAAAGTAAAAGGCTATAGAGAAATAAACAGAGCATACTTAAGAGAAAAGGATACTTAAAGTTCAAGATTTAGCCATGAACTTCCCTGAGACTTGAATGTTTATGTTTTATAATGGCAGAGTGGTTCACAATGATCAATTCTGGACAAAATGTAAAATAGTTAGTGGATGACACTACAGAGGGACTAAAGCAGGAACTCCAGGAGCGTGGGATACCTTTTTCTTTGCAGCTTTTTCACTTGAGGATAGTTCTCAGCTAACATCATGCAGAAGGGGTGAACTTAACACAGAGTGCCTTGAGAGCTGAGTAATGAGAAGACATGACTAGTTGCAGCATAGTGAGCAGAGTGGGAGCCATAGATTGCGTACAAACCCCACCACAGCTGTGTGTGAATATGGAATATTCCAAGCAAAATTAAGCCCTATAATTTTTTTGGTTTTTCAAGACAGGGTTTCTCTATAGCTTTGGAGCCTATCCTGAAACTAGCTCTTGTAGAGCAGGCTGGCCTCGAACTCACAGAGATCCACCTGCCTCACTGCCTCCTGAGTACTGGGATTAAAGATGTGTGCCACCAATGCCTGGCTAAAGCCAGTACACTTCTGGGTACAGGAAATTCAGTCATTTGTTTCTCTTTCTTTCTTCCCATTTAAATACCCTTATAATATCCATTAGCTTTATTCTCTTGATAAGGTATGCCTTAAACCTAAAAATTAAAACTGAAACATCAGGTTTTACTTTTAAGTGAAGGATGCTGTAAATTTCTGAGATTCTACAGCATTAGTATTATTTTTAAAAATGTTTACTTCTTCCTCGCAGTAGCATCCAATATTTACATTACTTTCTCACCTCTAAAAAAAATACCATTTCTACTTTGTTTGCCCTCAAAATTAAATATAATAGAAAAGAATTTTCTAGCAAAAAGGCCCTTTTTAAAAACCCGAAAGGTAATCAAAGCAAACACTGCAAACATGCTACCATTTAGCCAGTCGCAACCCTAGCATCCCACCCGCACCCTTCCCGTTAGGAAGCTGCAGGAGCCTGCCTTCACACTGTTCTTTCAGGTATAGTGCTCAAAGCAAAAATGAGGAGATGGTAATGCCAGTTGTGCTATGGCCTGAAGGAGAAGCTTAAGAGAGCTTCTTGGAAAAAGTAATCTACTTTGTCACATGTTATCTTTCACGGAAGTACAAGCTTTTAGATTTTCAGGCCAGCTGGTAAGGACTGAGTGATGTGTGAAGTACCAACCAGTATGGTGAAGACCGATACGGGCAGCACTGACACAGTAGCCTGAGCCGTTAGGTTAACCACATCAATTATGTGAGCCAATCCCTTGACCACATCACAGAGCTTGCTCTATTTTAGATATCAGTTATGTGAGCCAATCCCCTGACTATTAGAGGGTAATTCTGTTTGAATGCAGTTTTTCATTACTTAGAGATACAAATGTTCAGCCTAACTTTTAAGGTACCTGCACTAGTTTTGTTTGTCAACCTGACACAACATAGAGTCACCTGGGAAGAGAGAACCTCAACTGAGGAACTGCCTAGATTAGATTAGCCTTTGGGAGTGTCTGTGAAGGGCAGCTGTGGGAGAATGCTGCCCACTGCGGGCACCGTCATCCCTGAGGCAGCTGGGCCCGGAATGTATCAGAAAGCCAGTAGAGCATGATCCAGAGAGTGAGCCAGCTAGCAAGCAGCTTCCTTGGCCATGAGTTTATCCTCTGGTTGGAGATAATGCTATATGGGATAGCAAGCAGTCCTATCTCAGGTTTCTGCCTTGAGTTCCTACCCTGACTTCCCTCAATGGTGGAACATGACCTGGAAGTGGAAGTTGAAAAGCATCTTTAAGATGCTTTTGGCCAGAATGTCTTATCACAGTGACAGAAGGGAACTGAGTATTTTAATCTTGTGGTAACCTAACAACCAGAGTAAAGAAGAAGACTGCTCTTGGGTCTGCCCTCCTGATGTGTTCTAGTCATGAGACTGTCCAGGCAGCTCTGGGTACACCAATATCTTATTTCAACTTTATTTCTTACAACTTCCCTTTGTGTTCTGTTATAGATTATGTAATGCTTGTTATGTGTGCTCTATTTCACAGTCCTACTTACTGTTTTCACAGTCACTATTACACAAGATGCCTGTCACCTACCGTTTCCATCTCTCCCTGTCTAACTCCTACTCATTGTCCTTAAGACCCAGCACCAATCAATTACAAAGTGTTTTCTATTCTAAGAACGCCATACCTTCAGTGATTATTATGGAATAAATATTCTTTGGAAAAGAGATTAAAAAAACAAAAACAAAAAACTTATTCACTTATTGCAGTGTGTCCTATATTATATAAGGTTAATTTAATTTTTGTTAACTTAAAAAAAAAATCAGGCCTAATTAAGGATGATGTAGCAGGAACCATAAGGCCAAAAGAAGATCTTAAATAGTTTTTATATCTGTATGTGCAGAAAGCAAACATTAAATATAAGACTGAGTTAAAGCCGGGTGGTGGTGGCGCAAGCCTTTAATCCCAGCACTTGGGAGGCAGAGGCAGGCAGATCTCTGTGAGTTTGAGGCCACAGAGAAACCCTGTCTCAAAAAAAAAAAAAAAGCAGGAGTTTGGGTTTAACAAATGAATTCTTGAAAGAATAGTGTGATTGTTGGGTTAAGTGGGAATCAGCATGGAGAGCAGAGTAGTGTTTGCACTGGGTATTTATCCCACCATCTGCCCAGAGCTGCCTGGACATTCTCTTAACTAGAACACAGTCAGGAGGGCAGACCAAATGCCCATTCTCAAGAGTAGTCTCCTTCTTTACTCTAGTTGTTACGCTACCACAGGATTAAAATATTAAAATGAGTAATCCTCTAATATGGCAAGGGATCAAATGCACTGTGTACCAGTTCTCTCAAGCCAAATAAGAGGAGTTCTTAGACCCATGAGATATATAATCCTTTACAGTCCCAATAGCTACCCAAATGAGAAACAAGCTCTTCATTTTTAAGCAGTATTATTACCAGTAATCTAGAATGTATTTTTAAATAAAAAAACATTTCCCCTAATCCATTAAAAATTCTATCTTAGAACTCTACATGGAATTATACCTTAAAAAGACATAAAACAAGTCTTAGCTTAGCAGATGGTAGTCTCTACATACAAGTTAGCACATTTGAAGTTTTAAGTCATCGAGACTGTATAAAATGTGATCCAACAAACCACACGATTCACTCCTCAGTTCAGTTTTGTCAACTACATGGAAGAAATTAATCACGGAGAGAGGTTCTGAGATAAACAGCCTCTCCTGACTTTATGAAGCTAATGATCTAAGAGAAGGATGGGAAAAGCCAGCCAGCCAAATATGTAAGCATTTTACTTTGAAGAATGTTGACTGAGTTTAAATGAGGGAGTGAACATTTGCTCGTGGCAATGGAAAAGCTACTTACTGCTTGAATACTGTCTAGAAGAATAAGATTCAAAACATAAAAATAATTTGTGTAAGTAACAAGAGCTTAGTTTTCAAAAGTTAAAGCAATTGTAAGGCAGACAACAACAAACTCCCATCCTCTCCCTCCCCAGACCCTGCCTTCAGATACAACCTCTACCAACTGTTTCTTTCGCTGTCCCTTAGATGTCATTAGTAAGTGTGTGAAAACTAATTTCTAGATTATTCTGCTTCCATCTTCTGCCATTTCCTCTTCTCCTTTGTACAGTCTATGATCACACTTACTGTTTTATTTTATGAGTCTTTTTCACTTTTCCAACTGTGTTGTAACATAGAATACAATGCAGTGTCATAGGTCTGCTGAGCTGAATGGACAGTGCATCAGTGCCACTGTAGACGGCTGTCTTTTCTGATAAATATTTCTATAGTTTTCCTCAGTTTTTGAGGGTAAGTTAAATTAACATTTTAAACAAAAGACTTGGGTAGCACATGGTGGCTCACAATCATCCCTAACTCCAATTCTAGAGTACTCTCTTCTGACTTCCATAGGCTCCAGGTACATGCATGGTATACATTCATACACGCAGTCAAAACACTCATATGAATAAAACAAATAAATCTTCATGTAGCATAAGCTAGTCTGGAACTGACATATGTTGAATTCCTGGTCCTTCTGCCTCTATCTCCCAAGTGCTGAGACGATAGGCCATGTGTCTGTGCTGGCTCAGATTTAATGACGATCATCAATGAGAGCTCTGATCAACCAATAATCAACTAAAACATAAGCTGGAATACTTTTTATATTATTTTCAATAAAAATACATTAAGCTCTTAAGATCCCACTCTCCATGAGGATTTATACACAGTTAATGGCTGATGGGAGAGGGAGAGACATTCTCTTCAGTACTGTAGCCACTGGTATGGTGCCTATGCACCTATAAACACACCCGTACCTTATGCTCCTGTAACTCATGAGGGTACTCAAACACACAAAATGAAATGAAAGTAAAAGTAAAGACATAAAAGTAGAAGAAGCAATAGTTGGAAAGAGGAAGGAGGGTCAGTGGAAGTGAGAGAACATGAGAGGGTATCAGAAGGGGAATATGATCAAAAGATATTATATATGCATAAAAATGTCAATGAAACCCATTTGTATAATTAATATGAACTAACAGCAGAAATATTGAATACTATCAGGTACGGTGATGCACACCTTTAGATTACAGCCAGAGGCAGGTGAGTCTCTGGGAATTAGAGGCTAGCCTGGTCTACAGAGTGAGTTGCAGTTCAACCAGGGCTACATAATGACACTCTGCTTCAAAATGCGAAGAAAAAAGACTGAGTAGCCCTTAGACTTTAAAGGGATTTAAAAATGGAAAAGCCTGGTATGGTGGTGCATGCCTTTAACCCCAGCATTCAAGAGGCAGAGACAGTTGGAGCTCTGTGAATTCAAGGCCAGCCAGATCTGCAAAGCAAGCTCCAGCCCAGTCAGGGCCACACAGTGAGACCCTATATTTCAACCCTCCCCCATGTAGCAAATACCTGATGTGGTATTTTGTGTGTATTTGGTCCTCATAAGCTCATAGGGAGTGGTAGTATTAGGAGGTGTGGCTGTGTTGGAGTACATATGGCCTTGTTAGAGGAAATGTGTCACTGTGGGGGGGCAGGCTTTTAGGTTTCCTATGCTCAGGATACTGCCCAGTGACTCAGTGGACTTCCTGTTGCCTGCAAGATGTAGCCTGCATGCCACCATGTTTCCCCACCATGATGACTGAACTTCTGAACTGTAAGGAAAATTACATGTTTTCTTTATGAGTTGCCGTGGTCATGGTGTCTCTTCACAGCAATAGAAACCCTAAGACACCTGGAAACCTCCAGAGAGACAGCTCATTTCCAGTGTTTACACCCAGTCACTGAACAGATTATAATCTGCAAAGTACATGATGTCTAGAGGTGCATATTAATACTATGGTGATGACTTAGCACAATCAAGGCCTTGGATTTGATCTCCGGTGTGACAAAACAAGAAGGCTAGAGAGATGGCTGGCTCATCAGTTAAGAATGATTGATTGTTCTTGCAGAGGATCCAGGTTTGATATCCAGCACTCACATGATATCTTACAACTGTCCATAATTCCAATTCCAGGGGACCCCATGCCCTCTTCTGACCTCCCCAGGCATCAAGCACTCACATGGTGCACAAACAGACATGTGATCCAAACACTCATACATAAAATAAAACTAGTAAATGTTTGAAACATTGTTTTTCTCTGTTCATAAAGCCAGTATTTTGATATACTTAGTGAAAAGCCATCAGTTTGGACATATTTTGTCTGGTTCTCACCTTCTCATAAAGCAACATTGCTAAGGCACATTCTTTACCTAGCATTTAAATCGTGTGTGTGTGTGTGTGTGTGTGTGTGTGTGTGTGTGTGTGTGTGTGGGTGTGATTCTTTAGTAAAGCTAAGTTAGGGTTCTGAGTGGTTTTCACTTCTGAATTAAGTAGTTCTTTTTATTTTCCTAAATTTTAATAGGATTTTTCCAATTAAAGATGTGCCCCTGGAGTCTGATGACCTCGCCAGTTGGCTCTATCAGCGGTTTATTGAAAAGGAGGACCTCTTGTCACATTTCTATAAAACAGGTACACAGTACCCCTTATACACATTTCTGAAGTTATCGAAGATGCTAAACATGTGCTTTAGAGGAGATAAACATTTTCCAATTATTTATTTTTAATTTTTAAAATATTTAATTTTATTGTTTCTAATTATGTGTAGGGGTGTGTGTACACGCATGTGGGCATGTGCACATGAATACAGGTGCCAGAGGTGGCCTGAGGCTTCAGAATCCCTGGAGCTGGAACTGCAGATGATGTGGGCCACATGGCATGGGTGCTGGGAACAGAGCTCAGGTCCTCTGAGGAGCAGCAGATGCTCTTGAACTCTGAGCTGTCTCTCTAGCCCCTTTCATTTGTTTAGATTAGAAATCAGTCATTCTGTATGTAAGAATTTCAACTTAGAATTTATGGAAAGAAAAGTTTAAGGTGATGTATTTAGGTTCTTGCTTCATTAGTCCATGTACAGAATGGAGTGATGAGCATGTCACACAGTGATGTAACTCAAGACATAGGAATACAGACAGCTTCAGGCAAATGTGTAGTTCCTGGGTGGGGATGAAATGACAGTCATGTTTTGACATTGTACTTGCTTTCTTAATATATATTGTGGTCATTTAAGGTCATTTGAAACTGCATTTTTACATGCTTTTCCCTCCCTTTCAAGGAGACATTTATTCTCTTGCATGGTTTTAGTTCACAGTCCCTTGGCCTCATTGCTTTGGGCCTGTGTCAAATCAGAAAGAGGTTGCAGCAGATGCCCTCTAAACAGGAACCAGAAGAGTCAGGGTTACATTTTTTATTCTTTTACAAGAAAGAATATAGTTTACTATTTTCAAGATACAGAGTCAGTTATTTTTCCTTGAGAGGATTAGGAACCCATTTTTACCTCTTATATTCTCATTATTCTATAGAGTCTGTAAGAGCTACAATGAAGCTGGCCCTGATAGCACAGGTATAGTTAGTGCCTGGGGGGCAGGAGAAGGTGTGCAAGGCAGGGCAAGGTTAGTTCAAGGCTCAGCAAGCAACTCATGTGGTCAAAGAATAGGCCCTTAGTGTCTTGCCTTCTGATATTGCCAGAGTTGTAGCAATGATGGTGAGCCTCTTGAAAAAAGGCTACTTGCATATCAGACCTTGAGACTGGAAAACATCCCTGTGAAATGCTTGTGAGCAGCAAATCCCTTCATGAGCCAGCTTACCCTGGGGATTATAAGCAAGGACAAAGACTGGAATGCAAGAGTGGCAAATGGTCATGGCAGCACTGCACCAAAGCCACCTAGCTTTCCTTTCCAGAAAAAAAAGAAAAAAATTTAGACATGTTTACTTTGTATTCTCTTTCTTACTGTGAAGATGTTTTGTAAGCCTTACTGTATTTTGAGAATATCAGTTTTATACAACCACTTTTGTGGCAAAAAAAAAAAAAAAAAAAATGCTATTTTAGAAATTATTAGATGTGAATTTCACAGACCCTATGTGTGAGCACTGTGGAAATGGAGCTATCCAGTAGGGAGCCAGGCAGCCTGATTGCAGTGGAGGTGAACGGTAGACAGGCCTGCAGAAGGAAAGCAGATAGACCATTGGAGATTGGAGGACAGGCAACAACGGCAGGAGGGTAGGCATTGCTTTTGATCTGGGATGAATGCTGACACCTGAGTCAGTCACCCAGTGAGTTGTTGGACAGGCTGGGTAGCTTTACAGTTGAATGTTAGAGGAAATCTTTGCAAAGTTGGGCAGTTCACAGGAAAAAACTAACACTCAGCCTTATTTCAGGAGACCTGTACTGCAGGGAACACATCACTTTCCGTCTTGTCTTCTAGGAGCCTTTCCTCCTGCCCAGGGCCAGAAGGAAGCTGTTTCCAGGGAGATGACCCTCAGCAACATGTGGATATTCCTCATTCAGTCCTTCGCATTTTTGTCAGGCTATCTGTGGTACCACATCATCCAGTATTGTTACCATTGCCTATTTTAGGAACTGACTTAGACTTGCCACATAGGAGTTCAGACTTCATACATGTGCATTATTTTACATGTGCAAATCTAAAAATACAAATCAAAATATATAAAAAGCAAAGGAAATTCAAATGGATGGATTACTGTTTATCCCCCTTTGGGATATTTTACAACTCTACTACAGAGGATCAGTAATACAATGATGTGCTAATATATTTTAAGAACTGTTCGTGTTTTAAAGAGATACATTCTACCATATGTTTATGCAAGCATCACACTGGGAGAAGAGGAAATCATAAAATCATCTGAGAAGACTCCGAAAGAAACTGTCACCACCACATGCCCTTGGTCACACCCCGTCCAGAAGCTGTGTTCCTTTTTACTAGGGCAGAGTGTCACAACATTGATGTGCCCACCCACCATGCTGAGGTACTAGTCACCTTGGAGAGCTGGCACACGGTCCTGAGGAGTGGTCTCCTTGCCTAGCAAGCTGCAGTCCTCAACCCTGGCTGAGGCGTGGCATTTGTGTTGTGTGAGGAGCAGTGTCCACTGTCCACCTGGCAGGCAGCACTGTATCCCTGGAAAGGCTAGCTCAGCCCAGCACCATGTGTTACATGTGCTAATGCTTTCCCTTCTGTCAAGAGAGGGGAGTACCCACTTCCTCTTGTTTAGAAGGCACTTCATAGGATGATAATTGTATTTTATAAAATGCACTTTTATCAGATGCAAATATAGCAAAGGATAGCAACATAGCCTGAATCAAAGGGAAGCCTCACCCGTGAGCAGGCTCCCAGGAGGCTCCCTGCCTGAGTGCTTGCCCATGATGTGCTCCAGCACCAGCTTCATTGGTCACCTTCCCCAATTCTGACATAGTAGCACCAAATGTATTTGGGGGTAGTTAAAGCAAATTAATGTAAAACATGTAAATGACCAGTTTAAGGGAAATAGACTAGCTTACTAGGAAATAAAAGGTAGAATCAGACATTGGCTTGCAGTATTAGCAAGGCCTCCTGTGGCCCCCAGAATCTGTTCAGACATCAATTTGTTCTGTCATTATATCAAGTAGCTGCCCTTCTTGATGGGGTGACAGGACCAGGAGACAGCAGCTCAATACACTTGCCAGTCTCTTCCAGTTGTTTTTGAAGAGGACAAAGTCAAGCAAGTTTTGTTCAATTCTAGAAAACTTTTTAAAAAATTGTCTTTGTATTCATGTAATTACCTCACAGGAGAACCAAACTTTGCAAGAGGTGCAGGCAGTGCATCAGTATTGATTGAGACAGAGGGTGGTTTGGATTGGGACAGTAAAATTCTAAGCTTGAATGTGTCAGCAGTAGTTTTCTGTAGCATGAACACTGTAGATTTCCCTGTTGTTACTTACAACACAAATAACAGTTCTGAGAAATAGGCTGTAAAACAAAATTAAAGACTAATGTTTTCTGTTTTGAAATAAACCAAAAAAAGGAAAAGATGCAGGTTTTCCCCAGTTGTACGGGAAAGGTTGACCAACGCCAAATAAAAGCCCATAGCAGCTTCATCTTCAGCAAACCCAGAGCATGTATGGAAGAGAATGGCATGTTACCTGACATACCTCACTGGTACAGAAGACATTGGGTTTGATAGCAGTTATGAAACACAGCTGTCATGGAATCTAAGCATTTTACTCTGGTTTGCAGGGACAGTAAATAGGTGAAGAAAGCAGTCTCAATCTAGAAATGATGGGCATCCAGAAAGAGGCCATTCAGTGCCTCTGCTTGAGGCTCAGGAAAGGCTATTCCAGTGCAAGATGAATTGACTTGAGACATTAGTTGGCCTTCTGGGTGAGAAGTTGTTCACTGTCCAGTATAGCATGCAGTCCTAGCTAGCAGCCATTTCCTCATTGCAAAGCAATCCAGTTCCCACATGGGTCTTTATATCCATACATGTAGACAGAAGTGTGGCTCTGGCCCACTTGGACCACTGTTGTGCTCCAAAGGACCATGACTGTTGAGTATGCTGTACATGTCAAACCTACTCCCCTAAGATGTATTACTTTCAAATGCAGTTTCCACAGTCTCTAGAGTGACAAATGACTATAGATTTGTGAGCTTTCTTTTGATAATAGAAATGAGTTGTAAATAGACATGTATTTGATCTGTCCTACACTCTTCAGTTCTTTCAACATGTCTTTTGTGTGCAAACTATGTTTGAGAGTATTGATAGTGCTTCCTTATCAGTAACTGGAGTCCACCTGCTTGTACTAGGAGTGTGAAGAGAGAGTAGGTGTTCTTTATGGCAATCTGGGGAAGCCACAATATGCCACTGTAGAGAAGTGAATAAAATTCCCCATTTGTACTTAGTATGTAAAGTGGGATGAAAGGGAGCTAATGTGTTAAGTGAGGAAAAATGCACCAGCATTCTTTAGAGTTGCAGCTTTTTGGCCTCAGCTGGACTGCCTAGCTCCCTGCAGACAGGCTGAGCAACTCACTGCTGTAGTCCTTGGACCACAGGTCAGACCAAGCAGCAGTTCACCCCACCCAGCTTCAGCAACATACACATGACAGAGAAGCCTGTACACAGTGGGAGCAAAGAAAAGCCAGAATGGATAAACAAGTTAGACGAGAGCTTAATAAAGTATGAAAACGATAGCTGTAGATTCAGATCTATTGTGTATTAGTTGTTGCGATTACAATTCTTAAATTCCTATTGCAAGAAACTAGGGATTGCTGAATAGGTGGTCAATTACAGGGTAGTTAATCCAGTATTAAGTCATAGGAAACCAAAAATTAAATGTTGTGTAGGAATTTTAGACAACCAACAGGAAGAGGATACACCAAAACCAGCATATGGGCTCATATCCCTGAGTAAGAGAGTTGGTGCAGTGGGAATTGTTCCAGCCATGAAATCTTCATTCACCAGAGTGGCCGTAATACCGCTTCATTCCTGGCCATGGGCTTGACTCCCTTCTCATTAACTTGTCTTAGTGACATGTTTTGACAATTGGCAGACTATAAAGGCTTCATCAACTTGGTCCTGGGTATAGTCACAGAAAGTAGTCTTTGATTGTGGGTAGTCTTCTGCATCCCGTTTACGTTTTGTTTGCACTGCTGAACAGGAGGAGTTAGCTGATGTTTTTGTGATTTTTCCATCCTTTTCTATGAAGTCCCTGCACAATAGTGAATGCAGGATTTCACTCCAGAGTTATCATTACAAAAAGTATATACAAAAAGTGTGGAGGATAATGGCATCTTCTATGAGATTTTTGCGAGTACTGTGAGCCTTCTATCTGCAGACGGGGGTATCAAAGGCATTCTGGGTCACAGGTGTGCTAACTCATGTCATGATGGGTAGAGACTAATGTGTTTGGGACCAAAACCACCTAAGCTGGAAATTTCTGGATCACAAAGGAGCCTGGCATACTCTGAAGCAGTCACTGGCTGGTACTATCTGGCATCCAGTTTGCAACGGCCCCTCAGTAATTACAAAGTGGGCTCTGAGTTGGTGAGGACAATGGCCATAGTCAGGTAAAAGATACAATCTGGGGCTTTCTGCAGAAATTCCATCTGAGGATTTTTACATTTAGTATTGTAAATCTAAAGAGCAAAAAGAAAAAAGAAAAAAAAAGTATATATATTATAGTTGCAGTGTATACAAACGCTTTGGTGACTTTATTATGTAAACTGTTGAACACGACTGCAGTGCACAGACTCTTTACATGTAAAGAGTCTGTGCACTTTACAGCAACCCTTGTGATTCGGTAATGAGACAGTTATACATCCAACTGCCATTATTTTTATTAAGTGCTTTCTCTTTCTTTACAATTATTACAAAGTTGTATTTATTTTCTACAGATGGATTTTTGTTTTCATGATGCTGTAATGTTTACTTCAGCTTGTTGAGCTTTCTTTGTGATCTGCATGTTACAGTGTGTTTTAAGAATGACTGTAAAGGCTGTGGTGACTGTCACTCACTTTTATAAAGGGCTGGTCACATGTGGATCTGGTTTCTGAGTGCATTGGATGATTTTACCAGATCACCTTTTCAGAAATTTAGATATTGTGAATACCAAAAGAAGCATTTTCTCAGCAAAAATTAATATCTGGTTCTATTTTTTTTAATGTAGAGAAAATAAAGTTGATTTTTTTCCCCAAAAACAATGCTTTTAATTCTTAATAGTGGGGGTGGGTGTCTGTGCTGTCCTGGAGTTCCTCAGCACTTACTGCTGCAGCATTCAGTGGCTGGTGAGAAAACCATCTGGTTCCTTCCAGGACTTAAAAGATTTGCCCTTCCTCCAGTCTTCTCATGTAGTGTGTGCTGGCAAATGTTTAGCAATCCTCTCTCTTGGAAAAAAATTATGTATGTAAGTGCACATACATAAGTAATAAATTTTGCTGATAACAGATATTTAAAGCAATTAGCAAATAATAAAATGTAAATAATTGATTTTTACAATTGTCATTGTTTAACCCTCAGAGCCAACCTGTGACTGAATATCAACCATGATTTGATTGATGGAATTATTTACTAACCATCTCCACGTACACTATCATTTAGTCTAGTGTATGACTTATTGCTAAATTCTTACCCTTATATAGAAACTCCTTGTAGCTTCAGCTCTAATTGGGAGTTTAGATAATTTATTTTTAAGTATATCAACACCCCAAAATGAAATAAATGATCAGAAGCTAGGTGGTGGTGGCACACACCTTTAATCCCAGCACTCAGGAGGCAGAGGCAGAGGCAGGCAGATCTCTGAGTTCAAGGCCAGCCTGGTCTACAGAGTGAGTTCCAGGACAGCCGGGCTACACAAAGAAACCCTGTTTTTAAAAAACTAAAAACAAAAGCTAATTAAATGATCAGCTCTTGGAGGCAAAACAGAGCTGCCTTCATCACACCACTGTCCTGGTCTTTTTATGTTTTGGTTTGATTTCATTATTAGCATTGAATAGAATTCATAGAATTGATTTACTCATTGGTCCAAGAAAAATCCTGTCATTGAGCCTTGCAGGTTTTAAAGTGTGGGGAAAAGTCCCGAAATTAATATGACCAAGTAAGCTTTTGATTGTGGGGGGGTCTGGTGACATCAAGGTAAGCAAGTTTTCAGGAAGCACAGTGACCAGCTCTTTGTTTCTCAGAGCTGAGTAAATTCAGTATGCTCATCCCAAAAAATATGTTGTATGTGTGTGTTTTTTTTAACATTAAAAACATTGATAGTTTTGTTTCTTGTTTGTAAAATACCTTTGACCCCATTGAAAACGTTTAATGTATTAAAATATCTCGTATAATCCTACCAAATAAGTTAAATAGTTAACGGTTCAGTCTACCTCTTCTTTTCCTGGCTGGATTTAGGCTGCTGGTTGGGTAGGGCTGCAATTTTATTTCCCCTCTGAAGTACTTTATGTGGAAAAGAGTAGATTGGGGCCAAGGCCTGACAGCACATTAGAGGCTCGTTGAGATCTGTTGCTGACCAGCCCTGTCCCCCTTGAGGTGGGGGAAAGCCATTGTTTTTAATTCCCACTTAATATGAAAATGTTTGTTTTAAAATTGTTTCTTGCTGGTGAAAAATGTATTTTTAAAAGGAAAAACCAAATCCTCTTTTGGTCTGAGGAGTCAGCTGTATGAGCAGGTGTGACCGTATCATAACATGCTGATGTCATAGAAATCAATAAATTTTTACCTCTCAGGAATTGGGTGACCTTGTTCTTAACTCTTAAAGAACCACAGTTCAGGGTGCACAGAAACAAACACACAAATGCAGCAAGGGGGTAGGGAGGGGCTGGCTGGCCACCAGAGTTCAGTGGGCCCCTTTCATATTGAGAAAAGCATTCTTCAAAGGATAGATGAAGCTGGTGGTGTACAAGGAAGAAACTGAAACCAAGGAGCGACCCTGGTACCCACCCCTGGAAGATGCCTTGGGGGGGGGGGGGGATAGAGGTAGGCACTTGTTTGGTTGAAGCAGGGGAATTTCTTATTTTTATGTGTGTTTTTTGCCTGCATGTGTGGCTGTGTGCTGTGTTCCTGCTTGGTGGACCCTGAGGCCAGAGGAGGTATCTGGTCCCCTTTGACTAGAGTTATAGACAGTTTTAAGTTGCCATATGAGTGCTAAGAATTAAACCTGGGTCCTCAGAAAGAGAAGCCAGTGCTCTTAACCACTGAGCCATCTGTCCAGCCCCACTTGATAATAGTGAGAAAATGTAAAACTGAGTATGAGACCCTAAAGTTACCAATTACTGATTTGTAGTCCTCTATTTTACTTTGGGCTCAAAAACTACCAAGTCTTATCTGCAGTTTTCTATCAGTTGGTACTGTATTAGGACCAGCTGGTAGTCAGTTGAGGGTAAAGAAAATAGGAACCCAAAAAAAAAAAAAAAAAAAAAAAAAAAGGAGCAATCTGAAGAATTGTGGTGCTGAGAAGAGGAACCCAAGACATTAGGTGATAAAGGGAAGGCCAGGTGCTCTGTCCACAGTAGGTGTGCATACTCCAGATACATAGACTGAATGAAGGTTAGTACTAGAAAGTCAACCTCCATATCGTCTCTATCTTAAAGACTGCCTGCCATTCATGTATACCTACCTCCCATTTCAGGCGACTGTCTTCTGAACAGGATAAAGGCATACTTTAAGTCATTACAAATCTCATTCTCTGTCAGGAGTCCCAACAAAGGAACTGTTCACAATGCTGATGACTCAAGTCCTTCCTATAACCAAAGCACCTAAGTCCACAATAAAGCTTTTTGTCTACCCTGGTATACACTTGGTAAGGACAAAGGGTGGCACCAGTATTTGGATCTGTCTTGGATAACTTGAATCCTGATGTGAGACAATGGGCAATGGCAACTCCAGGGCTTCCAAAAAGCACAAGTAGAAGCCAACAAGGCCTTTTAGAATACAGCCCAGGAACAGCAGCATTACCTGCACCACTATATTCTTTGGTTAAAGTTAGTATAATGAATCTGTTGGGAGGAGTCAGAAATCAGCTGTAGAATACAGCATTCATCAGCTATTTGAACAAAGGGTATTAGGTATAGAAGAGTTCTCACAACTTGCAGATTTGTCAGCAGTATCAGTTGGAAATGCTTTGAGGGTTAAATCTGTCACACTGCCACTCATTTGTGTAGATCATGTTAATCAAATGAATTGAACACCTAGCAAAAAGGTTTTGGCTCATGCCTGTCATGAACAAGTCCTGGATTCAATCCTCAGAACCACAGAAATAAAAAGACTGTTTTTATCAAACATCATGGGGCAAGTATAATCCTAGCAACTCAGGAGGTGGCCGAAGCTGGAAGATGGAAAGTTCAAGCCTAGACAGGATTACATAGTGAGTTGGAGACTAGCCTAGGCTAAAGTAAGACTCAGCTCGGAAGAGAGATTTTATTGATTGGTCTGCACCGTTTGTGGTGCTAGTCAGCACACAGCTTACTGGCCTTTGAGGTTTCAGAGTTCATGGGAACTTTGGAATTTCCTTCCTCAATTTTGAAGTGAGCATGATACCCAAACCCTAAAGGCTGATTTCTTAGAATGTCCCCTGAGCCCTGGCAGAGACGGCATTAACCACTAAAAAACATTTGGAGTCTGTGGCTTTGTCTTTTTCCATGTGGAGGTGACATGTTTTGCTCTGTTCAGTGGGAAAGGGAGACAATGCCTTCATTTCACTCTGAAGGGAATAGACTTCAATCCCATAATACTAATGTTCTGAATTTTAAGTTGAAACTGGCAGAGAGCAACTAGTAGCACCTGATGCCATGTATCCTTCTAATACAGTCTCCTTGCACCCATCTCTGTGGAAAGGAGGACCGGGGTGTGAGGCTCTGCCCTGGAGTTGAACCCCAACTCTGCCCATTTCAGTATTTAATGAGACATTGTACATGAGGCACAGAGGGTGGGTGTGCTCTGTATTGAAGGCTCAGGAGTGTTTTCTGCCCCAGTTAGACTCAATGGAGGATGTGAAGACTTTCCATCCTAGATGTACCTTCATTCCAGATGTCCCCTTTTGTGCACAGAGGCTATTGATGCTCAGCGGCACATTTTCCAGAGCCTCGAGTTCCTTGAGTTTCTAACAGACAAACCAGTGACCCCATACAGACTGTCCAATGCTGGAAAGAGCTTTGAGGTTGAAGAAGCAATTAGGAAGTCGGAGAGACAAGAGTATGAAGAGGAAACCAGATTTACTGGACATTACAAAAGGCATTACATACTCTTAATAGAACCTGCTTTTGCTTCTGAGACATGATGTCACCTGTGGTATGGACCTTGAACTAATTATCAGAAGGGAGAGAAATATAATTTCTGGTGTTTGGAAGCTGTCCTCTCACCACGGTCCTCTCTTTAGAATGGTAAGCATGACATTGAGAGCCCCTGAAGCTTCAAGGAGGTCAGTAAAGTTCTGAGAACCTTTCTCCTGTCTAGTTCCACACATCCCTGAGCCTGCCTTGAAATTTGACACTTTCCACCATTTAGTGCTGTGCTGAGTGCTCAAAACTAAGGAACTGAGGCACCACAAGATGTTGGCAGTATAGATGTGGGCATGGCTGATGTTTACTGGGGGGGGGGGGCAGCGGGATGAAGAGCTGGCCTTTCTAGTGGCTCTCACAAGTTGAATAGGTATGGAGCTCAAGTTTTGATCGATCCTGTTTCCTCTAGTGTGGGACTGTGGTAAGCACCATGTGGTTCCTGAAGTTTCTGTGCCCTTTCCTTTGCCTGCCATTTTTTCACAGCCAGCTCAGTCCCCTTCCCTCCTGTGACTGATGTTGCTGACTGACTGTTTGGAGCAGTTGCTATTACTTTTTCTTTGTGGTTTCTGCATTCCTTGAGCAATTGTGGAGGGAGGGGAGGCTCTGGGGCACAGCTGGGCTCCTCCACCTTTAAGCAGATGTCTATACATACATGAAAAATTCACTTTGGCTCCTGTCATCTTGGGACATCTGAGAAAAAGGCTCTTGGGGTGGGGAAGCTAGGGGAGGGTTGAGCCCGAGGAAGTAGAAGTGACCTCTCTTGTGCACAGTGAAGACTTGGCTACAAAGAAAAGAAGGCTGCTCTGCCAGGTTTGATGGTTTTCTTTGAGAATACCCACCATGCTGCAAAGAGCAGGGGACACAGGGAAGACACTTGAATGGATCCACAGGGACAGGCACTCTCTTGTCACTGGAAGATGTCACACAGAAGCCAGGCAAGTTGGTGCCAGGATGAGCATGGGTGGGACGGAGACTCCAGCTGGGGAGGGTGGGAAGAGCTGGTCAAAGCTTCTATTGTGCGGGCTTTTCTGTTGCTCTCTAGAGAGGGAGGAGCAGTGAGCTCAGCTGAACCCTTACTCTCATCATTGTAGAGGCCTCTCCCAGCTTAGCCCACCAGGAGCGGCCTTTTGCGTTGACCCTGCACAAAGTAAAATTGTCAAGGTGCTGGTTCAAAGCATTAAGAATTATGACAATGTTTAGAGCACTAAAGCAAAGGGAGGTCACACTCTCAAAATGTTAGCCCTTGGGGTACCAGCATTGAGAATTGATGTAGACAGCCCACCACCAAGACCCACTGCCTAGAAGCTATTTGCAACTGAAACCTAGGAAAGGGGAAATCAGTTGTCTCCAATGGAATGTCAGTAGAGATGTATCAAACCTACTCCAGGGCAAACCCCATGCCCAGAAGTAGCTGACCAGCACAAAACAAACTCAACATTGTTAGGGTTTGGGGAGGGCAGGCTTTTTGTTTCATTTTGTCATTTTTTTGTCTTGTTGGGGTTTTGTTTTGACTTTCATTGGTTTTATTTATTTGAGAAAGAGAACATGAAGTTGGATAGAGAACATGGAGATGGAGATAATCTGGGGAGAGTTGGGAGGGGAAACATGATCAAAATTATTGTATAAAACTTTTAATAAGAATACAGATGAAGAGATGTCAACACTGCAATAAGGACCACCAAGGAGGAAATGCAGTGCCTGGAAGAGGAGTCGGACCTCTGGAGTAGGGAGCCCAGCCTCCAGGGAGGCAAGAGTTCACTTGAGGAGACCTCAATATTTGCTCTCTGATGCTTCTCCCATGTAATGAATAAGGTGCCCCTGAACACTAGAGGCAAGAACAAAATGTTCAACAAAAAGGCCCAGAATTTCCCCAAGACACTGGGCACCCAGCCAGCTTCTGCTTGCCCCCAAATGGCATGGCAGCAGCTTCAAGGTCCAAAGCCCATATGTCTGGGACTGTTATCAAAGTGGAAACCGAGAGCCAAGGGAATGTGGCAATACCAAGATGCCTCTGGGTATCCTGGTTTAGCCTCCCAACAGAATGTGGATAGAGAGAACAAGATCTGTGGTTCCTTTCTCCCATCCCTACATTACAAGGACCAACACAGAAGCAGAAGAGTGGAGCATGGGGTTGGGCCATTGTAGGCCTAGTATGTTCACTGAAAAGAGACAGGCTATGTCACCTTAGAGCTGCTGAGGACAGCACAGATGACATTATTACTATCTAGGGGTTTGGGGTTCATTTTCTCATCTCTCTGCCAATTAAGGAATTAAAAGGCAGAGCAGAGAGAATTAGGTCTGTTTCCCCTGGAAGACTGGGGTGTGTTGGTTGGCTTGGAACTTCCCCTCATTTTGGACAGTCTTAAGCAAAAGAAGAGAAGCTAATATGTCCACAGCTCCTTGTAAAGGTGTTCAGGATTAGCCTTGAGCATATTGACCAGCCTCCATCAGTCAGCTTGACTAGGGAGGAGGGCTTCTGGTGGGAGAATAAGCCTGCCAGGCCTTGGTCTTGGGTCAGGAAGAAGAGGAAGCCAGAAATATGCCATCTTGATTGTTTTGTTTTTCAAGACATAGCCCTGGCTATCCTGGAACTCACTCTGTAGACCAGGCTGTCCTCAAAATCAGAGATCTGCCTGCCTCTTCCACCCAAGTGTTAGAACTAAAGGTGTGGGCCACCACCACACAGAACCATCTTTTTTATCCGTCTGTCTGCCTGTCAGTGAATCTGCTAGCTCCTAATCAAGCCCTCAATGGGATAAACGGCTGGGGGAAGGGTCACTCTTGGAGGCTTCCTAAAGAGGGAGAGGAACTTCGGGGAAGGATCCAGAGCTCCAGGTTGGCAGAAGATCAGCTCTTCTGAAGCATTCTTCCCTCAGGCTCCTCATGGTGCTTGGCTTGCACTCAGCAGCCTGCTTACACAGCAAGCGCCAAGTTCTCCCTCCTCAAAGCTTTCTCCTTTGGCGGTGTTTCCTAGAAAACACTTCCTATGCCCTGGTTGCTTCTGGCATTGTTCTGAGGAACTGGTTGGCAAGTTGCCCAGCCCAGCGCTGAGAAGCCAGAAGAGGCACCAGCCTGTGAGCATCCATTATCTGGGAGGAAAGGACCGGAGCTAAGGAGACAGGCAGGCTGGGATACAGCCCTCCACATTTGCAGGTTCACCTGACAAATGAAGTGAGGCCTACAAGAGGAGTATCCACAGCTAAATGAACTTCAAGGACAGACCCCCCCCCTTCTCTGCCTTTGCCTGTCCCCCGAGCTCCCCTCCCAGCACACCCACACTATGTTTCTTGGAGCTTGTTAGACTGGCAAACTGTCTGGAAGCTGACATGCTGGAGCAAGCTGATTATGAGGGGTAGGGACACTTGATCCCGAGTCACAGCCAGAAATTCTCCTTCCAGGTCCACAGCGTAGGAGCTCCAAGTCCCAGGGAAGATACTTGGGTTTTTTTGAACTTGTGACTTATCTGGTAGAAGGAGTTACTATGCCTGCTGTCTGCCTGCTGGTTTCTCAGGGGGTCATCTAGACAGGAATGTGTGTATACAAGGGTGAGTCCAGTGGTCATCAGTAACATAAGATACACATTAGAAGAATAATCTTTCTCACTGGGTTTGGCATCATCTAACCATCCACCAGGCCTAGCATAAGCTTGGATCTGAGATGTTTTCTAGGACATTGAGAGTCAGAGAATGAATGCTTAGCCAGGTGACATGGTAGGGAAGCCCTCCCCCACCTCCCCATCCCCACCCTCCAGTTGCACATTGGAAAATCCATCCGGATTAACAATGTGGAGAGGTGGGGCCTGTGATGGGGTCAGGAGAAAGCTGCCCTTGAAAGGGGTAAATGCTGGTCACAGGGCTTAGTCACTGTGGGAGTGGGTTCCTGAGAAAGATTGAGCCCCTTTCTCCTTGCTCTTTTGTGTGTGTTACAATACTTGTTGTAGCAGAAGCTAGACTAGAATTCACTATGGAGGCTAGGCTGACCTTGAGCTGTGAAGAAGGAGCCTTGCACTATCAGCCCTGTTCTAAGGAATCTGATGGAGACCCGGCTTCTCCCAAGTAGTCTGTCACCTCCAAGGCCAGGCCTTGTGAATCACCCAAGCTCCGTGGCACTTGTTTTGTGTTCCCAACTACGTTATTTCTCTAACATAACATTTTCTTTTTTGTTTTTTTTATTTATTTAATTTATTATTTTACATATCGATCCCACTTCCCTATCCCTCCCTCCCTCCCTCACTCACTCACTCACTCCCTTTTACCCTCTCTGCCCTCTCACATGCACTCTAACCACCCTCCCCTCCCATCCCCCCACCCCAATTCCATTTGTAGGGCAATGCCATCCAGTTGGGGTCATGTAGATCTGACAGGTAATTTGAAGTAGGGACTAGGGTTTCTCTCCTGTCTTTAGGTTAAGGCAGTTATCCCTCCATGGGGGATGTGTTCGCAAGGTCCTTTTGTGCACCAGGGATACATCCTGACTCCACTGTCTGAGGTCCCTTAGACTGCTCAGTCCTTCTGGCTGAGACCCATGTTCAGGGGAGCCTGAGTCAGTCCCATACTGGATTCCCAGCTATCAGTCTGGGGGCCCGTTAGCTCCTCCTTGTTCAGGTCAGCTGTCTCTATGTGTTTCTGCTACCTGGTCTTGTCCTCTCCATCTGCATCTGGGTTTTACTTCGACTCAGTGTTTAGCTTTGGGTGTTTGCTTCTGTTTCCAACAGGTATTTGATGAGGGCTCCATGGATAAGTTAGTTATTGATCTCACTCTCCGGGAAGGGCGTTTATGGTAGCCTTTCCACATATGCTCAAATTGTTAGTTGGCGACAGTCTTGTAGGTCTCTAGACCTTTCTTTGGGTTCAATTTTCTCTTCAAACCAATTTTGGCTCCCTCTTTTATGTTCTCTCCCCCCCCCCCCCCCCCGCCTCTTGTCTTCTGTTCCTACCTGACTCAATCTTCCTAGTCGCATGCTAACATAACATTTTTGCTACCGTGGTTGTACACTTAGTGAGGAGACCAAAGCTGTGGCTGGTCCAAGGACCTGGACTAGGGATGGTGGCCTTTTAGAGCCTGCTCTGATTTCCTTAGACAGGAGCAAGGGCAGTAGGGTGACATCACACATTGCATTAGAGGTAGCCATGCCCAGGAAGACAGAACAGGGTGGTGCACTGACTGTGACCCCTTGACCTTTGACTCAAGCTCAGCTGCTAACAGGGGCACTTGCTCTGAATGTGTAGAAGAGAATCCAGCACACAGAATACTACCAGCATGCTAGGAACAATGGCCAGAACATCGCTGGCATACTAGAGTCAAGTGCCCAATACTCAGTAGCTACAGCAGGAACGGAGTTCTTATTGACTTCCAGCCATGTGTTCACTGGGAACCTCCAGGCTTCAAAACACACATGCACAGAGAGATAGGGTGGTTGTTGGTTGGACTCTCACACTGTGTTCTTGCTGTGTAAAATGCCTCCTCAGCGATCCCATGTGGAGGCACACAGCCTAACACTCCCTAACTGGGACAGATAGATCTTGGCACAATGTGAGTTCTGTGGCATTGCCATACTGGATGGAGATATATATATATATATATATTTTTTCTTATCTAATCATCTCCTAGGGCTGCCATAGTCAATTGATCCAAACAGAGCTGTTTCAAACAACAGAATTGTCTTAACACAAACTGGGAAGCCAGAGGTCCTACACCACAGTGTTAGCGAGGCTGGCTATTCTCCACTTGCTTCCGGTGGCTCATAGAGGTCCTGGTGTGCCACTCTCAGCTTCACCTGCAGGCACCCTTCTTCCCGAGTCTCTCTATACCCTCTCTTTTTAGGACACTGGTCATTGGATGAGGGGTCCTGAACACAGGATAGAATCATTTGAAGATATTGGGAGAGTGTTGTCTTCTGAGGCTACAAACCAACCATGGCGGCACAAGCCTGCCATCCCGGCGCTTGGGAGGTGGAGGCAGGAGGACCAGAAGGTCATAGGTATCGTCAGCTACATAATAAGTTCAAGGCCAGCCTGGGCTATATTGAGAAGTTGTCTCAAAACAAAAAAAAAATTATCTGGGTTAGTTAGCCTTAACTGTCAACTGGACAAAACCTAGACTTACCTGGAAAGAGAATGTGAGTGTGTCTGAGGGCAGGGATTGCCTTGATTGTTAACTGGGGTAGAAGGGCCCAGACTTTCTACCCCAGTGGGTGGCACATTCTCCAGGCTGGTGCTCCTAAACTATGGAAGGAAGCTGAGCATTAGCCTGACTGCCAGCCAGCATCTCCTCCATGGTTGGTGTTGTCAGTCACTTTGTGAAGGGAGTTTCATCAGTGAGAGGCGATGGTGTGTGGAATAGTAAGCAGGGCTTTCTTCAGGTTCCGTCCTTGAGTTCCTCTATGAGGAACTGTGACCTGGATGTGTAACCCAAACAAGCCCTTTTTTCCCCAAAGTTGCTTGGTCAGGATATTTTATCACAGTTACAGAAATGACCCTAAAAGAATGTTGTCCCGTTGCCCCAAACCCCAGCTGCTGTTTTCCTCCTCCTGTACACCCTCTAAACCCAGTTCCAACCCAGAGCCTCCCCGACCAGCACTGCCTCCTTCTCCAGATGGATGTTTTCCTCAAGTACCTGGGCACATCTCTGTTGTACCCTGTAGCAGCCATGCCAGAAACTATGGGTCTGTGTCCCTGTGACCCAGAGCAGAGCTCCTGTTCCCCTGCCCCCTCCCTGGACTAGGGCACCCTTGGCCCAGAGGTGTACACCAGCTTTTTAGGAGCAATGGGCTCCCAGTTTGACTTTCGTGGGGCGTTTTGGGTCCATTATCACAAAATCAAGGCCATGGACAGTGGGAGATGAGGAAGCAAGCTGTGGAGCCAGTGCCTCTCCAGTGGCTTCTCCCAGGAGGGAAGGACGGCAGTAGAGTGGTGGCTGGAGGGGCAAAGACAGACTTAGCAATCCAAAGGCTGAGTGTGTTTTCAGGAAACAGCATGTGGAGAGAGGAGTGAAAGGAAAGAGAATGCAGATTGTGGGGGTAGGGCAAGCAGAAGCTCATAGAAGAGAGAGTAACAGGAGATACCAGCAAGGCCCCTGCATAGACATGGGGGGACACCTGAGCCTCACTCATCCAGAACCCCCAGGGTAGTGGGTGGGCTGCACAGGCCACTACACCCACAGCTTCCAGACCTCTGGTTTCTTTTGCTTGTTTATCCTCCAGCTCTCCCCAATGGAACTCATTGCTGGCTTATTCGACCTTCCAGGTCATTGGCCTTCAGCTAGGTCGGCTCTCCCAGGGTGCTGGCCAGAGGCCAAGGTAGCGCTTGAGATCACTCAGAGTGTTACTGGTAACTGACCGAGGAGGTAGGGTTACCTCAGGATAATGTTCACTCCTATTGTTCAGGGCTATGTGATGCTGCAGAAGGAAAAGCACGGGTATGAATTATTGAGGAAATCTCAGGTTCTCACCAATTCCCTAGTGATCCTGATACGCCCTGAAACATGAGAGATGCTTGGGATTGAGCAGGGCTCAGTGCTTGCCACAGATTGAGACCTGGAGTCTAGAGTGTCATCCGCAGCCCACTGTGGAAAGCACTATCCAGGATTTGTGAAAGATCTGCAGAGAGGAAGGAATACCCATGGATAGAAACCCAGCTGAGAAATCATTCTAGCTCTAACTCTAAAAAGATATTCAGTCTGCTGTGGGTGACCTGATCCTGTCCTCAGGAAGCTCCTGGCTAGACACACACACACACACACACACACACACACACACACACACACACACACACGGGGGGGGGTATTCACACACATATCCTGTCATTGTAACTGATAGTGATGATAACAAGGTCCAGGCAAGACATAAAGACTGAGCAGGAGACTGCTATTGGGACCTGGCCCAGGGCTAGTTACCCCCCCCCATCCCCTGAGGCCTCCCTATACTCCAGTGCAGAACTTTGCAAAACATTCTAGGAACTAACTCCATGCCTGCTAGGTATCCTTACTGCACCCTGGAGTTGCTGTGAAAAATAATGGCTACTAGGGTCATGCTTTCCTGTTGCCTTAAGTCCTGGGCTACTATCTTGAAGAGAGGCAGGAGGAGAGATGAGTGTCAGTTTCCTGGGTTCCTTTGACTTTGTTTATTTGGAAGTAGCTCACATGTTTGCTCAGGCTTCCAGCCACCTGCCCTTTGATTCACACTATTACAGTTAGCTATGTTCCAAAAGTGTGTGTGTGTGTGTGTGTGTGTGTGTGTGTGTGTGTGTGTGTTCTCAGGTATACCCAGGTCTGAGGTACAGCTATACAAGCCTTGGTACTTGCACAATTGTACATCTACAGGGACCATGGCCACCTGTGATAACTCCTGTGTTTGCCAGGTGGTCCCTGCACATACGACCCGGTGTTATGCTCATGCTCTGGACTTTAGCAAACACATTGAAAGTTTACTTTCCAGGTTTAAAGTTCAGGGATTAATGACATCAGCTTAGTATACTGGTCATTGGACCGAGTGTAACCACCTCTCTGGCTTTGTCCAGAGCTGATGTATGTATACTGCTGTCCAAATTCCCCTCTTTCCTTATTAGTAGGTCATTTATCACTGAAGAACTCTCTCTCTCTCTCTCTCTCTCTCTGTGTGTGTGTGTGTGTGTGTGTGTGTGTGTGTGTGTGATCTTTTTACCTGTAGGATTGCATGTTCACATATGTAGAGGCCAGAGGCCAGAGGCCAGCCAAGATATCCCATCTACCTTTTATGTTTGTTGTTGTTGTTGTTGAGATACAGTCTCTCATTGGTCTGGAGTTTGCCAAGTAGATTAGGTTGGCTGGCCAGAGAGCTGCTGGGATCCAGTGTCCACTCCCCCACGCTGGAATTATGTAAGTGTGCATCACACCACACCTCACTTCCATTCCTTCCAACCTTTGCATGATGTGACAGTCTTTCCCAGCAAGAGTGGTGGTGACTCCTCTTCTGCTTGTCCATCCTCAGACCAGCCATATGTCCCCCAAGTCACCCTGGGTTAAGAAGCAAATGAGTAAGACATGGCTTCTGTCTTGAAAAGTGTCATGAAATGCATAATTGTCATGGAGAAGGAAGGTCCTGGGATCTGCTCAGCTGCTCAAAGGTGGACTCTGATAAACCATACAGGCACAGCCAGAGAAAGCGGCATCCCCTCCAGGAACCTGGAGAGACTTCTGGCTCCAAAACTAAGAGAGAAACTAGGCCTGTTTCTTAGGCCACCAATTTGTGGAAATTTGTCTTAGTGGCTACAGGAGATGAAACAACCCAGTGTTTACAAAAGTCCAAGTGCAATTCAGTACAGAAGGCTGTGGGCAAATAGGGAGGGGCAACGGACACACTGGAAGATAAATACACACTCTTCCACAGCTTTTGACATACACAAAACAAATTCAAAATGGATCAAAACCTAAACATAATCAGCATAGTGGCATATGCCTGTAACACTGACACTTAGTAAGCAGACAGGAGAATCATAAGTTCAAGGTTAGCTGTGGACTACATAGCTAGCCCCTATGTCACATAAACAAACAAACACAAAGCAAAGGGAAAGTAGTGAAAGCAAAGCCAAGGCTGTGGCTGAGACTGGAAGTGCATACCTGTAGCCCAGGCAGAGAAGAGGTTAAAGCAGGAGGGTTACAGAGAGTTCAAGGCCAGCACCAGCTACCATGTGAATACCTCATCAGCCATGATGCAAACAAGAAAAAAGCAAAACAAAACACTAAGTATAAAAACAAAGCTGGTTTAATGCCAAAACTCTGAAGGCAGAGGCAAGCAGATCTATGTGAGTTTGAAACCAGCCTGGTATACAGAGTGAGTTCCAGGATAGCTAGGGCTACACAGACAAACCTTGTCTTGAAAAAACAAAAACAAAAACCCCAAAAAACAAAAAACAAAAAAAACCCAACAAGCCAAAAAGAAAAAAGCCATGAAAAACCTTGCAGAACTTCTGGTGAACATGTTAGAGGAGTAGCAGGTGGCAACTGACTTCAGGGGATGGGCCCTCCAGCATGCAAGGCATTGATAGGTGGATCTCAGACAGGCAAGAAGGCTCCCAGAGCCTCTGCCCCAGAATGTCTGTTGCTCCTTTGCATGGCCACTGGCACAGAACCTTACAAGAAAACCTGGTTCCCTCCTGTTAAGGCAGAATTTCTTTGTTATGATCACAAAGCACGAGCTGTGCAATTTAAAACCTTAACAACCTGACTTCAGAAAGTTAAAAGTTTTTGTTTGGGGGAGAAAGGATTGCTGGTGCCAGAGGGGCCAAGGACACCAGGGCTCATAGGGGCTCACAGAGCCTGAATGGGACTGACCTAGACACTTCGCTTATATTACAGTTGTGTAGCTCCGACCTCTTGTGGGACCTCTAACAGTAGGAATAGGGGCTGTCTCTGGCTCTTTTACTGGCTTTTGGGAACCTGTTACTCATACTAGGTCGCCTTGTCCAGTCTTAATACATAGGAGGTGCTTAGACTTGCCAAAACTTGTTATGCCGTGTTTTATTGATATCTGTGGGAGACCTGTCCATTTTCTGAATAGAAACAGAGGAGGAATGGATGGGGAGGGGGCAGAAGGAAGGGAGGGAGGGGGGAAATGGGAGGAGAAACTGCAGTTGGGATGTAAAATAAACAGATAAATGTAATAATTTTTAAAAAGCCTTTTTTATAAGTCACTGCTGAGAGAATGAAAATGCAATTCATGGATGAGGAGGTGGAATGAAGAAGTTATATTTTGGTTATGTGTAAAAACTCTCAGGCTCAATAATAAATTATTAACCCTTTAAAACCAGCAAAACATATTTACTTTTAAGTTTGGTTATTACTTATGTATTTATTTACTTGAGACAGGGGCTC